GCCTGTCGCCCTAGACCACCGAGAAGACCACCACCCTTCAGGCTGAGCTCAGTGTGGTCCTCCCTCTGAGTCCTGCTGGAACACGGCCCATCACAGCCCTTCGCCCTGGGCATCAGCACGCGGGGACGGCCGCCTCTCCTCACCAGCCTGAAGCCCCTTGAGGGCAGGCGCCTCAGCTGACTAAGCTTCCCGCCCCCCCCAGCAGCCAGCACAGACTGATCCCTGTCTTTCGTCACAGTGGGCGACACCAAGACACCCCAGGGGGAAACGGCTGGGCCCAGGGCTCCGGGTCTGCCTCTCGAATTCCCACCTCTTGCAGGCAGAAGCTGGTGTTCTACGATTCCAGCGAGGAGCTGGACAAGGAGTCCCCAGATGCTGACCCTTGGCTTCCTGCCTGGACCCTGGAGGGCAGCCCCCCTGGTGACTGAAACTCCATCTCTCCTCCTTGTAGGCTTGTGTGGGGCCTTTCCCGCTCACTTCCTTCTGAGCAGCACTGAGGTGGGAGGAAAGAGGACGGGGACCCAGGTCTGCCCGGCACAGGGCTGTGTGCGGCCACCGTGGCAGACGTTGCTAGCCAATCATCCCTCTTTCTGTGAAGCGCACACGTTGCCTCAGAATCTTTCTTAACCCAGAGCCCCAGGTGGCTACAGTCAGTCTCTCAGAGGTGGCACACCAGACACTGATTCTGTTTTTGGTTATCCATGACCTGATGCCAGGCATGGCGTCTCCTAATTTCCTCTACAAAGCACTCAAAATGAGCACTTGACCGAGTCACCCTTCCCCCATGTCTCACACCATCTCCTCAGCTCCAGCCACCGCACTGGGGGAGAAGGTCATCCTCAAGCCCGATGCTTCCTTTTCAGGGAGCCCGCTGGCCTTGGGGCCTCCCCAGATTAACAACTGGAGTGTGACAGGCCACCCGAGCGAGATCCTAGGGCTCAGCCCCTCCCTCTTCAGCTCCCCAGGAAGGCTGCCACGAGATCAGATCCGGGGGGATGGCACTGAGTTCCTGACCCAAGGTGAGCTCCCGGGCCCAGACCCAACGCTTGGTCCATTCAGAAAACATACGGCGATAACCCACCAAGTGCGCCGCCCTGGGCTCGGCCGTGCTGGGTGCCCCGGGGTGGATCGCACCCGGGCTCTGGCTCGAGAAGCCCGCAGCTCCGTGGGGAAGCGGCCCCGGACCGGCCCAGTGAGGGGAAGGCCCAGGAGCCAGCGTCAGGGGCCCACGCCCTCTGCTCAGCTTGGAACTGCCCCAGGGGAGCTGGCCTGTGAGCCAGATTTGGTCCTGGGACAGGAGATTCCTGAAGCAGAGACCCGGAGAAGGGCACCGGGGCGATCTGCTCCAGCCCCTGGCCGCTCTCCCTCCCCGACAGCTCTCTTCAAAGAAGTGTTCCTAGATCCCGAGTCTTCACCTTCTGACGACATGCTTGAGGCGCTCCAGGACAAGGTAGGCAGCCGTCCACAGACACGGCCGACCGTCCGTCCTTCCCACACGCATCACTCTCCTGCTTCACGGACTCACCCGTGCCCGCGACCAGGCGGCCGCCTCCCCCCACCGGCTCACTGTCCATCTGCTCGAGCTTCTCCCTGTCCTTCCAGAGACTCGTCTACCGTCTGTGTCCTCATCTGGCCACCGGGCGCCCCACTCTGTGCTGGGCATTTGGAATGAACTAGACCCCAAGGACAAGAGCTAAAAGCTGCCGGGTGCCCAGAAAAGACCCCACGTAATTTTAACAGCTGCGGGGTCTCTGGTGACCCCAGTTGACAGATGAGGAAACTGAAACCAACAGAATGAGCTCAGGAATCCTCAGTTGGAAAGAGCCTCCCTCCCGGGCCCCAGGGCTCACCTCTGGCCACAGTCCTCTCTGGGGTCTCACCGCCCAGCTGACAGAAGGGCAGCCCCAGCTCGGGTCCCCAGATGAGTCTGCCTCCACCTCTACTCTTTCCTCCAACGAGGAGCTGAACCTGTGGCAGAAACAAAAGTAGGCACTCCTAGCAGAGCTCTTAGGAAGCGCCAGGCACGGGCGAGGTGCTTCTCAGCCCTGCAGGGCATGTGACGTGACCTCATTCTGTAGGTGAACTTGATGCTCAGAGAAGTTACCACTTGCCCAGGGCATCACGGCTGCCGACCCGATGGCATTAAGAGCTACTGGCCCAGAACGGGGGGCGGGGGGCGAGCCCCCTGAGCCCAGCCAGTCCCCCCGACCCGCTGTGGGAACCTGGGAACACTTGCTTGGACGTCCAGGGGCTGTTTGGACGAGGTTGTCTTAAATTCGAGCTGGTTCTGATGCTCCCGTGACGTTAGGAAAGCCGTGAGTGGGGACATGAAGGGACACCGTGGTCTCCCCTCACATCGCCCGTCTTTCTCCTTCACCCTCCAGGAGATGCGCTCGGAGGCTCCCGAAGACCCCCCTGACTCCCACAGCTTGTGCCAGTCGTCTGTCTCGCTGGACCACTGCTACCTGTCGCTGAGCGAGAACAGCAAGGCGCCGTCCAGCTCCAGCTCCAGCTCCAGCTCCAGCTCCAGCTCCAGCTCCAGCTCCGAGGACTCAGACACTGAGTCGGTGTGGAGGCAGCAGGAGGTGACGGGGGGACAGCCATCGGCGAGGTCGCTCCCCCGTCTCCTGCCGGTGCTCACCTCCCCGTCCCCCACCCAGGACGCTCAGGCCGACCCCGAGGGCCTGCCGTCCTCCAATGACGAGGATGGGGACTACACGTGGACCCCCACCCGACGGGCCGCCACCCTGCCCGCGGCCGGGCGGAAGGCCAGGAAGGGCCGGGCGGGCCGGGGCCCGACGAAGCCCAAGGAAAACAAGAAAGCCCCCTGCCCAACCCAGATGAAGAAAAAGTGCGTCAATGGCTTCATCATGTTCTGCAGGATGAACCGGAAGCAGTACATCCGGTGGGTGGGGGTCCTCTTGGGCCCTGGGTGGGGCCCGAGCTGCACGGTCTCCCCCCACCACCACCCGGAGCATGTTGCCCCTGCTGACACAGTTGCCCCTTCTGGCCATGATCCCCTGACCCTTCCTCAGTCACCACCCCCACCCAGCATCTAACCTGGTCCCCTTGCACTGGTCAAGGCCTGCAAATTGTACGCAGTGAAACCTAACTCAGACTTAAGAAAAAAGGAACGTGGCTCACATAGCCTGAAAGAGAGAAGGTAGATGGCCTTCAGGTGTGGCTGGGCCCAGGGCTCAGGCGATGCCGTCTGGGCGTTTTGTCCCTCTCTCCGCTCCGCTCTTCTGGGTTGGCTTTGTTCTCAAGCACATGGGGTGCGCTTGGTAGAGGGTCCCCCCAAGGCTCAGGTCCAGCGACCCACGGGGAGGAGAGCTCCTTGTTTCTAATGTTTCCCGCAAAAGTTCTTGGGGCTGACTTGATAGGTCAGGCGCCCAGCCCTGAAGGTGGGGGGAGGCCCCCCAATCCACAGCGAAAAGCTGGTGCCCTGACAGGAAGATGCGGGTCCCCTCCAGGTCCCAAGACTCGGTGTCCCCTTCCCGACAACCCATCAGTCCCCCTCCTTCTTTGACACCTGGGCTCCAGAGGGTGTGTCCTGAGGCCCTTCAGGCCAAAGTGGGTAGAAAAGATCCGAGTTCTAAGAGGGGAGCCTCCTGTGGTCAGACCGTTGGCCTTCGCCCCGAACAGCCTGCCCTGTGGGCCTCTCCTCACCTCTTCCCTCCTGTCCCAGAGCCTGTCCTGGGACTGCGTCCACGGCTGCCACCAAGGAGCTGGCCCAACTCTGGCGGGTGATGACCCAGCAGGAGCGAAGACCGTACTGGTGAGGAGCCCGGGCCCCGGGGGCGTTGGGGGGGCGGAGCGGAGGGGCCTCCTGGGCCCCCGGACACCTGCTCTGATTTTTAGAGCCTTGGGCTTCATGATATTGGGAACAGGTTGGAGTTTATTACTGGGGTGGAAGATTTGGGTGTTGCCAACTCTTATGAGATCGTTGGGGGGTGACGGAGGTCGGGAGGTGCTCGACCTTGGAGCTTAGACGGGCAAATAGCCCAGTTCGGGCTTTGGACCCCCTTTGCCCTTCCTGCCACAGGGAGTTTCTCAGAGCAGGAGGCTGGGTCTTTAGTTCCCTGTTACTAGCCCTCCTCCCTCCCTCCCCTCCTCCTGTCCACCTGGTCAGAGCAGCCGCCTGCCCCCCTCTCATCGGCCCCTGAACACACAGCCCTAGGTGCGCACTTCGTAACAGATCTCACAGGAGTGTGGGGCTCTGGCGGCCCAGCCCCGTTGTACAGATGAGGACCTGGAGGCCTGGGCTCTGGCGGGGGGCGGTGAGACAGACGCCCCCCAGGGCAGGGAAGGCGTGACCACCGATCGGCCCCCCTCTCCCCCAGCATCAAAGCTCGTAGGTTCAGCCTCCAGCACAACCGGATCGTGAAGCAGGACAGCTCAAGCAGCGAGGACGAGGACTGGGGGACCCCCAAGCCCTTCTACCAGCTGCTGGCCGAGAAGGCCTACCGTTCCCCAGAGCTGGGCCCTCTGCTGCCCCCTCAACACAACTGAAAGGGTAACCCTGCCGCGCCCCCTCCTCTGCTTTGCAACCGGGAGCCGGTGAAGAGGTTGTCCCCTCCTGGGCCTCACCCCTCCTGGAGCAGGCTGGGAGGGGGCGTACTTAGGGCCCCTGATGCTGTGTGCGTTTGCCTGGTGCTGGGGCCTCCTGAACTTGGCCTGCCCGCCGTCCCCTGCCCTGCCCTCCATCCCCCGCCCTGCCCGCAGCCCCTCCCTCGCTTAGGTGCCTCCGGGGGCACCGCCGGGCCGAGGAGGGGAGTCCTGAGTGAAAGGCAGTAAGGTGAAGTTTACGAGAAGGGGCCCGCTCTGCTCTTCCGCTGCCCACCCCAGGGTCCAGTGGTTTCAGCCCTGTTCATTCTTACCTCGCCCCACTGCTCCCTCCCCCTGTTCTATTTATAGATTATTTATTGTTTGCAACAAAATAAAGTGGAAGCCTTGTTACCAGCAAGGACAAGGCAGGCTCCTTTGGTCCCCTGCTTCCTCCACCCTGGGTGGGGGCTCCTCCTGCAGGATCTGGAGGGCCCGGGGCCTGCAGTTGGAGAGAACCCACACCTTCCCACAGAGCTGCCCTCCAGCCCCCCGGCCCTGTCAGGCAGCGGCGGCCAGAAAGCCAGAATCTCGGGTGGGGATTTTTTATGGTCCAGTGTTTCCTTCGGACAAGTAATTTAGAAGGTAGCCCACACCCCTGGAGATTCTAGTTGTCTGTTAACTTTATTTTAATTGAAATGGAGGCATAACATGTCCTAGAAAAATAAAGATTTATGATACAAACTAGACACAGGGGTCAGGGTTGCCCCAGGGGTGAGGGGATCTTTGGTCTGGGGCCGGAGGTGAGAAAGAAGGCTCTAGTCCAGGGGGAGCCTCACGCAGGCCTCCCCGCACCTGCCTCCCTTTTCAGCAGGGAGGGCCCAGCCGGGAGGGTCCCGGGGGTCTGGGGCACAGGACTGCCTGTCCTCCACCCTCCGACTCCAAGTGGTTCTGAGAACACTGGATGTCAGTGGACCTATTAGTGTTTTAGGGAGCGACGGGGGCGGGCCCAGGGGCTCGGAAATCCAGCCACGTGGCAGGGCTTGCAGCTCACAGCTAGTACCAGGTTGAGGGGGGCAGAGCCCCCGAGTCAGGATCCCCAAACCTCCCCGTGTATTTGGGGCACAGAGCAAGGGCTGTAACAGAGGACGCCGCTGAGCCCAAGGTCAGTGTCCCTGGGCGGGAGTGGACAGGGGCCAGCCCCCCCCCCCCGCCCCGGCACCTCCAGGGCTTGGAGAGTTTCCGCGGCCCGGCTTGGGGGCAGCGCACGTAGTGTGTGGCATCTTGGGCTCAAAGCGACCGTGTCTGGGCAGCCCCCTCGTTCGGCCCCAAGGGAGGTCTGCGCGGCCCCAGATCTTGAGCACCATTGGCAGCAGAGGCGCGAGGCCCGGCGCGGGGGGCGGTCACAGTTCCAGGGGCTCTTCCACAGGCACCGACTGTAGCTGGGTCAGAACCTTGGGCTCGGCTTCCAGCCCCTCGTCAACCTCGCCGCCGGCCGTGGACCCCAGGAGCAGCCCCTCGGGGTCGGGGTCCGGCAGCCTCAGCACGGCGTGGGGGGCCTGCGTCCCCAACCCCTTTTCTGCTTCCAGCAGCCCCTCCGGGCCCGCGCTCAGTTCCAGGCCCGCGGGCCAGACGGGCATGGCTGCAGGCGACAGAAGGAGCCCTTCGGGCGGGGGCGCCGGGAAGCCGGGTAGGAGACCCGAGGAATCCGGGGAGAAGGGCAGGCTGGCGGCGGCGGCGGCGGCGGGGACGGGGACGGGCGGCGGCGGCGGCGCAGACAGCGGGCCCAGGGCGTGCACGTCCGGGAGAGCGGGGCTGGGGGCCACCGGGAGGGCTCCTTCGGGCACGGAGATGGCCGGGTCTGGCTTCAGGGGCAGGGCCAGGCCGGGGGCAGGCGGCAGGACCTGGGAGACCAGCATGCTGGTGGGGAAGGTGGCCGTGAGGATGATCTTGCCCTGCTGCACGGCCACGCCTGTCACGATGGGGCTGCCCGACACGGGGTTGGCCAGGAGAAAGTTTCCTGTGGGGACGAGACACGGGCCAGGCGCCGGGGTGAAGATGGCGCTCAGCAGGGCAGGCAGGGAGATCAGCAGGAGGCAAAGCGAGCCTCTTCGAGCCCCTTCGAGGCCGGGGCTGCGTCTGTGGGGCCTGAGCCTCAGGCCGCCGCCGGCTTCTGGAGGGTTCTGGGCCGTGCCAGGGGTGGGCTGCCCAACCTCCCCAGAGCCCACTGCCGGCGCCGCCCCCCAACCCCCCACCTCAGGCCCCAGCAAGGCAGGAGGTACCTGGGGCGGTGGCCGAAGGCAGCTGCAGGGCAGTCACGCCCACCCCGGAGTTTATCAGGTGCACGTTGGCGGGGCCCGCGGCCGCCACCTTCACGGGGCTGCCCGGCCCGGCCGCCAACAGCTGCAGCGGCCCCACCGCCTGGGGCAGGGTCACCACCTGTGAGGTGGGCACCACCTGCGGCAGGTTCAACAGTGGGGACGCGGGGCCCAGGCCTGCAGGGTACCCAGGGGGCGGGGAAAGCGGCACCACCTGGGGAGCAGCCACGGACGGCACTGGCCCCGGGGGCAGAGGGAAGGGGGCAGCCGGCGGGGGGCCGGGCACCACCTGGGGCAGGGGCCCCGCAGCCTCCTCTCCCGCCGGCCCCGAAGCAGCCACCTGGGCCTCCTTGGTGTCGGCGGCCTCGGGCTGAGCCTCTTCTAGCCGAACCTCCCCGGTCTGAGGGTCCAGGACCAGGGAGGTCTTGCCCTCGCTGGCCCCCTGGGGCCCGGGCTGCGGTGCAGGAGGGCCGCTGCCACCCGTGAGCAGCAGGGGGCCCAGGCCGGAGGCCTCCCCGAGGGCCAGGCTGTTGATGATGACGGGGCTCCCGTTGAGGAGCACGGCGGGAGAGCTGCCCGCAGCCAGGAAGCTGCCGTTCACCAGGATGGAGGAGGAGGCGGCGCAGGGGGCAGGAGGGGCGGCCCCGGCCAGGAATATAGAGCCCTGGGCGGGGGCCTCCGCCGCCACCGGGGCCACCGCCCTGTCCAGGTCCTCGGGACTGCGGCTGCACTCGTCCTCGGTGGCGGGGTTCCCGTCAGACTCGCTGGCCAGAGAAAGGATTGTGAGTTGTGGTCCCCAACGCCCTGCGTCCCCACTGGCCGCCCCGCCGGAGCGCGGGGCTCACCGCTGCCTCCCCACCTTGCCGCGGCCCAAACTTCTGCAGCCGAAGGCCTGGGCCGGGCGGGTTATAAAACCTCCTCCTGAGACCACCCAAGGACCCCCCAAGACGAGCCTCTGCAAGTCCAGCATTGATACCTCTCCGTAAAAGCTAAAGCTGGCCCCACCGGAGGGAGGAGGCCCTCCTCTCCCAATCCCTCGGCCTCCGGGCCCCAGAGGCTGAGCACTGGGCTGCCCTGGGGTCCCCCGGGTCGGGCCGCAAGCTGCCCGGCGTCTTCCCGGAGAGTGAGGAGGCAGCCGCCGCCGCCCGCTCAGCTCCCGGTGCCTCCCCCCGCCGGCGTCAGCAAAGGGAGTGAGAGGCCGGTGCGCAGGGTGGGAGGGGAAGGGCTTGGGTTACAGGGAAACCGGAGCTGGGGAAGGTTCACGTTTCACAACAAAGACAGACGACGGACCACGCTGTTTGGGCCCCGAGGGGGGGTGAGTGGGGGGGTGGGGAAGAGCCACGGCCAGGGAAAGGCCCGGCAGCCCGGGGGCGTGAAAGACGCCTCCACGCGCGGTGGGTGGACAAGGCCCCGTCCCCCTTTCCGCAGCCCCCCTTTTCCTCACTGCCTCCCCCCAGCCACGGACACGGATGGGATTGGGGACGGCGCTCTGAGCGCAGCAGAGGGGAAGAGGTCTCCCGGCCTCCGCGACAGGAGCTGCCGGGTCGGGAGAGGGCCCGGGCCGTGTGCCTGTTCCGTCCACACGTAGTCCCTGCGCCCTGGGGGGCGCCTGAAGGCGTGAGCAGGAGGCGTCCCCAGAGCTCGGCGCGCTGACCCCAGCCGTGGGCATGGGGGAGAGGGGGGTGGCTGGTGGGTGGCACGTCCCCGGGAAAACGGGACTTGCGCCGCCTGGGTCCCCTCACCTCTTGCAAGGCGCGCCGCCGCCGCCCCCGGTCCGATCGCGCTGTCGCCGGTTCTTGAACCAGTTGCTGACCTGCGTGAGCGAGAGGCCGGTGAGCGTGGCCAGGCGGCGCTTCTCGTCCGGCGTTGGGTAGCGGTTGCCGCGATAGCAGGCCTTGAGCGCGGCGCGGGAGCGCTCCTTGAAGCAGTAGACGGTCTCCTCGCCGTCCCATATGGTCTTGGGCAGCGGGAACTTCTTGCGCAGACGGTACTTGTCCACTGCGCCCAGCGCGCGGCCGCGGGCCCGCTCGGCCTCGTGGTAGCGCGCGCGCAGGTAGAGGTCCTGCAGAAAGGCGTGGTGGGCGGCGGGGAAGGGGCGGCTCTCGAGCAGCCGGTAGAGCTCGGCGTACTCGCCCCGCTGGAAGGCCACCAGGGCCCGAGCGCGCAGCACCGGATCGCTGCCACGTAGGCGCTCGGCCGGGGGCAGCGCGCCCAGGAAGCGGCTCAAGCGGCCGGCGTGGCCGGCTTGTAGCAGCGCCTCGCAAACGCACGCCACCTGCTCGGGCGAGAAGCGGAGGCCCGTGGGCGGCTCGGCAGCGGCCTCGGGGGGCGACCCGGGGACGCCCGGGGATCCCGGGCCCTCCGCTCCCGACGCCGCTTCGCCCGCCCCGGCCCCGGCCGCGGCCGCTGCCTCACCCTCGGCCGCCTGCAAAGTCTGCAGGAGCTGGCGCGCTTCCTCCTCCTCTTCTTCGGTCGCCGCCGCCGCCGCCACCGCCTCCCCCCCAGCCGCCGGCCCCGCGCTCGGCTCCGCAGGCAAGGTAGCCATGTTTTGCAACTTTGGGAAGTTCCTCCCTCCTTCTCCTCCTCCCTCGGGCTTTCCCCAGCCCCCTCCCCCGCCCGTCCCCCCTCTCCGCCCTCCTCTTCGCGCTTCCCGATCTTCTCCCCCCGCGCCGACCCCGCGTCTCCCCCAGCAATGCCAGGCCCGGCTCTCCACTTGGGTCTCGGTCCCAGTGTCTGTGTGAGTGCCCGCCCCCCTCCCCGTCTGTCCGTGATTCTCCTTTTGTTTTCCCTCCGCCTCAGGCCGCGCTTTTTTGCCTCCCCCCGCGTGTGCCTCAGGCTCAGGGCCTCAGTTTCCCCATCGGGACAACGGAGAAGGTAACGGGCCGTCCGGGAGCGCTAAGGGCGCGAAGCCACCTCCGCCCCGAGACTAAGCTTCTGCACGCCTCCGTCTCCAGAGTCCTCTGAAGGCCCCCCCACTCCCCCATCTCCGCCTGCGCTCCGCCCCTCGGAATTCCCGGCGCCGCAGGGGGGCGGGCCTGGCAGGGAGAAGGGGCGGAGGAAACGGGTTAGAAAGTTTGCAGCAACTTTTCTTGAGCAAGTCTCTGGAACGGAGGCGCGTGGCCCGCGCAGGCGCAGTGGTAGGAGGATGGCCGCGCGCGCAGCCGGCCCAGCCCCCTTCTTCCCGGGGAGCGGGTGGCACAGCTGGGCCACAGCTGGACAGGGGGCGGTGCCTCCTGGTGGCTCGCTAGCCATCTCCTATTGGCCGGATGCTGAGGCCACGCCCCTCAGCGTCCCCATCCCCACCCCCGTCCCTGATTCGTCAGCTCTGCGGCCCGCTAGCCTCCCGCCAGGCCATTGGCTGCCTCCACTCGCCTTCCGATTGGCCCCCTGAGCAGGCTCCTTCCCGCAACGAAAAGAGAGCGGACACCCGGGACTTCAGAGGTTTGGGCAGACGGGGGGGCCTTTTATTCGCGAGGATCGGGGGTGGGGTCCTAGGTGGGGAGAGACAATAAATACTGAGGAATGTCGGGGTCTCAGTGCATCCAAAACGTGGATTAGGGCGCTGGGGTCCTGGAGCCTGTCAGCGGGTCGGAGGACAGGTCAATAAATACCCAAACTGCCGAGGCGGGCGGAGCCTGCGGTGGCTCCGAGAGCCGCTTACGTGAGGAGGGCGCGGGAGTCCCCGAAAAAGCGGGGCTGGCAAAAGCACAAGGTTTCCGAGAGAGCGGGCGGAGCTCGCACTAGACGTTCGCCGCGGGGGGAGAACGTTCCCGGGATAGCAGGGCCTCATGCACAAGGATTTGTGGTCTGCGAGCCGATGGGGGCGGAGGGGGGGAGGGGGGAGGCGGGGAGGGTGAAAAATTGATGGCCGAGCCCTGGCCCTGCTGCCTTCTCTAGATCGCAGTTTGCCCATACATGTCGGGGCCTCAGCCAGGCCGCAGGAAGGAAGTGGTCTGCCATCCCCACCCCCCCACCCCCCGGCAGCAGCTGCAGCATTGCCGGTTACAAGCCTTCCAGGAGCCCCATGCTCCGACCGCGGGCCCGGCTCCTCCCTCTCCGGCCGCCAGGGGGCGGGCCCGGATCACAGGGCTGGAGCTGGGGCGGACACCCACGCTTGGAGCGGTGTGAACGCGGAGGCGGTGGGAGCGGCTTCTGGGCGGTGCCCAGGTCACCCAACCCTCCGGCTTGGGGTTCTAGGGTTCAGGGGGCGAAGGCGGGTCCTGGGTGGCGCCAGACCGGGGCGAGATGGTCGGCGCAGGCCACCAACCCAGTGCAGCCCAAGGCGGCGGCAGCAGCCAGAGCAACGGCGAACAGGAGCAGGGAACGCGCCTCCGATAGGTCAGGCTTAGGGACCTGCGGACAAGAGGGCGGGATCAGGTCCCCGCGGCACGGCCCACCGATTGGCTCCTGAGACTCGCCACGCCTACGCCCATAGGTGGGTCCACAATCCTTTCTGCACTGCGCCCCGCCCCCGCGGGCAGCTGCGGTTGGTCCGCTGGCAAGCCTCAAGTCTTGTCGGAACTCGCCACTGGCTGCTTCCGAGCGGCCTGTGCTGATTGGCTGCCCGGGCATCCTCCCTCCCCGCGGCGGGCCGGGCCCGACAAAGGCGCAGCTAAGCAGAGGCAGCTTGGGGTAAGTGGAGCGAGGAGGGGGCGCGGCGGCGGCGGGCGGGCGTGAGAAGCCGGACGTACCCTGGCAGGGAGCAGCAGGTGGCGGCGGTGCATGGGGCCTGGCCCCACCAGCGGGCATTGGCCCAGAGCCACGGCCGGGGGGCCATCTAGCTGGAGAGAGAAGGGACAGGTGACCCGATCGGAGCCCAGCCCGGCCCGGCCGCCCTCGGCAGGGGGCAAGAGACAGCAGAGGGAGTCGGGGAAGGAATCGAGGGAGCTCCTAGACGGGATCTGGTGGGGCTATCTGGTGGGGGAGGGGGGCCTGAATGGAGGGTGTCTGCCGTCTGGAACTCCCAAGAGATAGGGTGATCCCTAAATCTGGACGAGAAGACAGGGGCGGGGTCTGCAGAGGGGCCAGCAGGCTTGATACAGGGGAAAAAGAGGGGTCTTACATGGGAAGGTGGATCCGTGGCCCCGGGACTGGGGACCCCCGTGACAGCTGGAAGGAGAAGAGAGACGCATAGGGCGCGTGGAGGGGCGGAGGAGGGCGGTGGCGCGGCGTGCCCCAGCCTGGGCCCCTCGCCCTCCCCCAGGTGTCCACACACGCCGGGGGCCCACCTCCCTGGCCTCCCCCCCCCCGCCCCGTCGCCCTCGGGAAAGGGGACGCCTGAGGGACTCGCCTGCGTCTCCCCCAGCCTGCAGCAGCTCCATCCGCTCCTGCAGCTGCTGGACGTGCGCCTCCAGGTCTCGGTTCCGGGCCTCGGCCTCACGGAGCTGACTGCGGGGAGGAAAAGACCGTGAGCCCGCCCGGACCCGAGCGAGACAGGCTGCTGGCGGTAGAGAGGCCCCGGCGCCCCGACCCCGACCTGGCAAAGCTCTGGTTAGCTGTGCGGATGGCCTCCAGCTCCCGGCTCAGGCTCTGCCGTGTAAGCACCTCCTCCTCCAGGGCCTCCTGGAGCTCCCGCAGCGTCATCTGGGCCTCCCGGGCCTCCGCCGAGGCTGGAATGGCCTCCGGAACCGCCGCTTCAGCCTGCGGGCGGGACGCGCTTAGGGCGGCCTTTGGCTCCTGCGGCACCCAAGACCTGGGCACAGGTTCTAGGCTGGGACCCCGACCCCCACCCCGCCCTGTCCTCTAGATCTCTGGGAATCCTCACAGCTCCTGCAGTGACCCAAGTCTCCTCCTTCCCTAACCAACCCCAGCCCCTGGTCTGGGCCTTTCCCACCCACCTTGCACACACAGGAACCAAAGGACTGGTCCTAAAACTCTAACCCAACTTGACCACGGCCCTCTCTTTCTCTCCAGCCCCTCAGCGCCCTCAGGGGAAGGCCTGCCTCACCAAAAGGCCCTGTTTGGTTTGTTTCCTGATGGCCTCAGTCTCGGCTCCCCTCAGCCTCCTCCAGCCTCCTCCTGGAACAAGTCAGCCTTACCACCCTCCTTTCCTGTTCGAGAATAAGCCTTTGCCTTGAAGTTCTGTCAGCTGACCAGTGAGTGGGTCCTTTTCTTCCCATGGATGGTCCTCCTCCTCCTTCTCTTCGGTGTTGTCCCTTCCCAGAGTCCCCTCCTCCCACACACAATGGCCGGTTTTAATGTCTTCATAGGGATTGTTTCTGACTGAAGTAACTTTGTCTCTACTGTGTTTTCTGTCCCTTTCTGTCAAGTGAGCTCCCAGAGGGCTTACTTAGCACTCCACAGCATGCAAGACCCCAGAAGCCCTTGCCTTTCTTGCCCATTCGTCCCTGACTGACCTCCTCCTCCAAAGACTCAGTTTCCTCCAGTGGGGGCACTGTGGCCTCTGGGCTGGGTGCTTGCACAGTTGGCTCAGGCAATGGCTCGGCCTCCAGTTCCATGGCCGTGGGGCCTGGGGCCTCCTCGTCCCTGGGGAGAGGAACAGGGCAAGGGGAGGGAGAGCTGGGCCCCCTCGAGAGGTTGCCCTGCCCCTGGATTTAGAGCCAGGACTCCCTCTCCTGTGGCCATGGGAGAGCCAGACCCTGAAGAACCCCTAGTGTGAGGAGGGGGAGGGACAGAGAGAAGGGAACTGATTGCCAGGTTGGTGTGACAGGTCCCCTTCTTGTTAGTAAAGGCCTGCCCTTCGCATGGCCTCATGGGCCTGGGAGCTGGCCTCTCTGCACCTTCTGGCAGATCCTGGGCTCCAGATACCCATGCTCTGGGGTCTGCTCATCTCCTCCCTCTCCATGTGACCTTTGCAGACCCCTCTCCTTTAGACGTCAGGACAGTGAGGGGGGACCCCACCCATCTCTAAGCTACCTCCCAAGATACGGTCTTTTTCTGGTCATCAGCCCCCTGCCCCCACCATCCCCAGCTGCTGGGAAGAGGTAACGCTCTCCCTGGGAATATGAAATTGCAATAAAAGTGGATGTTGCCTCCAACCCAATGCTCCCTCTCGTGGAAACAGGTCTCAAGGGCCTGATGAGCCTGGTGAGCATGGAGACCAAGCCGCAGCTATTCATCCAGCTTGGGTTATAACAGAGATGGACTGATTGAGTCCCGACCTGCCCAGTGAGAATACTGCACAATGGCTCGTGCTGTTGTTCATTCATGGTAAGAAATGGCATTTGTGGGGTGCCTGGGTGGCTCAGTTGGTTAAGCATCTGCCTTGGGCTCAGGTCATGATCCCAGGGTCCTGGGTTCGAGTCCTGCATCTGGCTCCCTGCTCAGTGGGGAGCTTGCTTCTCCCTCTGCTTGCAGCTCCCCCTGCTTGTGCTCGCTCTCTACTCTCTCTGACAAATAAATAAATAAAATCTGGGGGGAAAAAAAAGGCTTTGGGGCGCCTGGGTGGCTCAGTCGTTAAGCATCTGCATTCAGCTCAGGTCATGATTCCAGAGTCCTGGGATCGAGCCCCGTGTTGGGCTCCCTGCTCAGCGGGAAGCCTGCTTCTCCCCCTCCCCCTGCTTGTGTTCCCCCTCTCGCTGTGTCTCTCTCTCTCTGTCAAATAAATAAATAAATAAATAAATCTTAAAAAAAAAAAAAAAGGCTTTATGGTTATGAGTGATTCAATGAGTTTGTATTCTTTT